CAGAGTTCTCTTCATAATATCAGATTAAATTGTACTATCAGAGTTCTCTTCATAAATTTAATTGTACTATCAGAGTTCTCTTCATAATATCAAATTTAATTGTACTATCAGATTTCTCTTCATAATATCAGATTAAATTGTACTATCAGAGTTCTCTTCATAAATTTAATTGTACTATCAGAGTTCTCTTCATAATATCAGATTAAATTGTACTATCAGAGTTCTCTTCATAAATTTAATTGTACTATCAGAGTTCTCTTCATAATATCAGATTTAATTGTACTATTATTATATTTCTGTTCCTACTAATAGATTACAGGTGAGCTGGATGTGAAAAATGAAAATCTGATTAAATTAGAAGAAAGTCATAAGGAGTTACAGAAGGAATTTGGTGTTCAACAACTGAGAATAACTTCCTTGGAAGGTGAATTGCAAGAACAGGTAATAATTTGATGTAGTCAAACTTGGCTTTGTGTCACCTGTCTTCATCGATGCTGTTGAATTATTACCGTGAAATCTGTATTAGAAGCCGTGTCCTTAGTAGAAGTCGCAACCATTTGAGAACCGAAAATTCATGATTGCTTATATGTGTAGATGCTGTTATAGAATCCGCATCTCCTCTGTTGCATTGTACCATTTTAATGGAAACCGCGGCTTCTGATACTGATTTTACAGTACTACATAGCAAACCATGTTGCTACAGGTCACAGTATTGCTGCAGAGCACTGAGTTGTTACAGAGAACTATGTTGTCCCACGTACTTGAGGCGAATAATCCCGGGGGTGGGGGGGTGTCACTCTGATTTTTCAATATGACTGCTCTCGGGGTACTAAATTTACATTGCGTCTGCAATATCGGGTATGGTTTGCCAATGTGCTGCCAGCCCTAGGGGCCTATTATTTTTTAGCAAGAATGCACATGGCGTAAGGTTTTAATATAGGGTGACATAGGGTGATGAACAGCACATTACCATGTAGTAAAACAGCACAACATATGACATGAGTCAATTGCTGACATGTAATAAAACAACAATAAATACATGCTTTTATTTTTTAAAGGCAATTGATATATGATATGTTTCAAGTAGGTCATCATGATGTATTTAATTCCAGGTGAAACTAGTATCCAATACAGAGGAAGCCAAATCAGTGTTAAAAACAGAGTTGGAAAAGCAAATTAAAGAGATACAATCAAAGCTTGCGGAAACTGAAAGTAGACTCAATGAAGAACAAATTAACCATCAAAAGGTAGATTAAACACTGTGCTTATAAAACATCTTGTCAGTGCATTGAACAAATATTGTATTACATTTATGTACATGTACGTGTATGTATGCTGTATAGTTGAATTGATCTTTTCTTTGAGCAATGCTTGTCTTGTTATACAATTCTTTGTGTATACTCCAGAAAACTTCAGAATTTACAGAATTATGTGAAAAGTTTTCTGAACTGGAGACTAAATATACGGCGAAAGAGGAGAAAATAGCATTAGTGGAGGAAAGAAATAACAAATTGTCAGAAGATTTGAAAAATGCTCACAACACGTTACAACAAAAAGACATTCACTTTGATGAACTTCAACAGGAAGTACAGAAGGTAAGATGCATATAATGCAATGATTTATTGTCATGCCTAAACCGCAATCTTACGAATGTAACACTTAACCTTTTCACCACCAGTTCCCTCTTTTCCTCATAAATTTGCAAAATAGTCCTGTTTATAGTTTGCACTTTTTTTCTGAAGATTTGGACACAAATAGCCAAATTTTTGGAGTATAAACTGAAAATTTACTAAAATTTTGTCTGTTGGCTCCAAAATTAGGGTTCATTTGCATAAATAATGAAGAATATAAAAAAAAAGTGGAGAAAAATGTTGGCGAGAGAGTCTGGTGGTTAAAAGGTTAAAACACAGTCTTACAGAAACGTCTAGGTTCTGGCATGGCTTTGAGCAATCATGACTTGGAGAAGGATCTCCCAGGGTCATACTGGCTACTAGAGGGCGCCACTTCTGGTAGACCCATAGATATAGAATTCGATTCCAACTAAACCCATATTTGTCAACGATATCTAAATAATCAAATTTGTGGTGGTATTTGGTAGCAATGCCAAAATCAAATTTTGAATCTATCCTGAATCTGGTTTGTTAGGTGACTGCGGAATACTCTGAGAAACTCAAGGGAATGCAAGAAGAACAACTGAAACTGAGTGAAGAATCTGTCAAATATAAAAAGGAAGTGGAAGAAGAGGTACATGTATAGAATACATTGTTTAGTCTGTCTCAGTGTGTATCTGTTTTACTGATCTCAAAAGTTTGGTATATTTGTGCTTTGGAATTATCCACAGATGTGATCAGTTTGCATAAAATCTGAAGAATTACAGTTACACAGTTTCAGTTTCAGATTATTCTGATGCTTATTTATGAATAAAATTGAAAGGATACAGATTTTTACTTATTTTTTTTTTTCTCCAGTACAATAAATTAAAATCAGAGAAAACACTTGTTGTGGATTCGTTGAATGAAACTAAAACAATTCTGGAAGATAAAAACAAGGAATTTGCAGAGATGAAGAATATCTATGAAGACGAAAAGGTAATATAGAAACTTCCAAAGCTTAGGATGTCAATATCTAAATAAATTGGCAATTCTGAAGTTATAATGTGGTTGTTACAAAGTGTAACATTTCCCATAGATCAATATACAGCATATAAGTAACACAATAGAGGATGGGTTAAAATAGTTTAGTTTTTTTAGACTAAAAACAAAAAGATTAAAAATGATGCTAGATGTAGTTTAAATTTGTTTTAGTTTTTCTGTAAGATTGTTTACACTCTAAGAATATAAAGATTAATGTTTTACATTTAACATTTTCTTTAATACTATTTCTTAAAAGTATGTTTACGTGTCAACTAAGTGTACCATATCTATCTCAAGTAATTTTCATTTACATTGTTCAGGAAACATTTCCTCATTTTTCACCACTTCACTGGTATGTGAAATTGTCAAAAAAACACGTGTAAGGTACATGTTTCCAACAGATGTGCATGATAACTAGAGAAAAAAACATTTCAGTACTTTTGTTGTGTTTCAAGTTTGTATTCATATCTCCTTGTCTATTATATTACAATCTGTCCGTATGTCTTCTCCACAGCAATACATGAAAGCAGAAGCCAGTAGAAAGGTTGAAGAAAGGCAGAAGCAATTATCTGAATTGAACACAGTATTGGCGTCAACACAACGACATCTCAATGAAGCCAAGGTAGATTCATGTATAGTCATTACAGAAAGAGTTAATATTTAATGAATCAACCAAGTGAAGCTTTACATGTACTACATTTAATTGTTTTGCTCTGTGTTCAGCGATCATCTTTGAACAAAGCAAGTCAAATTCTTAGTATTTACTACTGTAAAATACTTTATTTTAGCAGGAAATAATTTCCGCTGAAAAGACTTTTAGGTGTTTTGTATGGAATTTATTTTCACTGATTTTGACGAGTTGAGTGTAAAACTTAGGAGAATATAGATATGTTCGCTAGATTTTATTTTCACTGAATCATCTCTTCAGCAAAAATAGCAAAAATAAGTATTTTACAGTAATTCAATGTTAGTTGATTTGAGATGCAGGACTGAGATTACAGCAGAGCTTCTTCCAGCAAAAGTATATAACCTAACGTAAAAAAGCCAATTACATTTGTAAGGATGTCACAGATGGTTTCAATGGTGTCAGGTCTTTGGTTCGTTATTTAATCTTTTCTCAGGCCGTTTTATTCTTCCAATAAAGAAAATATAATATGATTGGTATTTCTAGAAGCTAGATCTGTATACCAATAATCCAATATGTAAATACTGGACTATGAGACTCTGCGCTTCTTGGTCTTTTATATATGGGTCAAATTTGAAATTATTCATTGATCTTGTTTAAATTTCTTAGATTTTTTTAATCACCCCATGCCTATATGCAATAATTCATGCTTTCTAACATCATATATGTTAGTACTGCTCTTCATACAACCACTAATGCAATCTTTCCACAAAGGTCTTGTTTCATTTAGCAACAGTAACAACTGAAATCCCACTTCATGTTCACGCTGTCTCTGCATGGTTGCTCTCTTCTAATGTGATGGTAAAAGCATCATGCTCCTAAAAGATGGTTTTACTGCTTCATTGCTGAATGGTGTACTTAACTTTCTCATCCATTTGATGAAAAAAAAACGTATTTACATTTACATTCACCGCAAGAATAATCTGCTCGGCAATTTTGTGATGAAAATTGCTGTTTTGCTAACAACATTGCTATACAACTAACAGTATTGCTTATGTTAAATCAAAATTGTGCAACAATTATTTATTAACGCAGACAAAGTGGCGCCTCGTACATGTTAAATTACACTAAACATGTCCAAATCTTTTCGACATGTGTTATTCACTGGTGCACATAGTGGAACATGTAAAGTTCTCTTCAGAAAAAAACTAGACACCATGCAAGGTGCCACATTGTTTTGAATATTGGCCACTTTATCCAGTGTATTCATTCCACTGTGGTTATTGTAACTTTTAAACAAGTTCCTCCCAAACTAGTCACTTAAATTACTCCCACAACTTAGTCGGAAGACATACAATTATAGTAAATTATAATTGTCAATTCAGTTCAGTTTCTCACAAAATACTGCTGTGATAGACATTCTACCTTTGTTTTTAACCTTTTCACCACTAGTTCACCAATAGTCCTATTTATAGTCTGCACTTTCCTTCAGAAGATTGGGACAAAAATAGCCAAATTTTTTGAGTAAAAAATGAAAATTGACTCTAATTTTGTCTGTTGGCTCCAAAATTAGGGTTCATTTCCAGAAATATTTTAAATATAAGCAAAAAGTGCAGACAAATTTGGGAGAGAAGTCTGGTAATGAAATTATCAGCAGTTAATTATGCACGTATACTAATATGCATTCCTTGTTTTCAACAAATCCACCTGAGCTGATATGTGTACAATACAAACACCTGACATATAGTTTCATAAAATTGAGGGATAAATATTTTATGCAAGACTTTGTGGTGCTGTAAATTGAATGCTGGTAGGGGATCTTAAAAAAATAACATTCCCTAGTTGTCATTTAATATTCAGCCAGAAGGTAATAAGTATGTGTGTACATTACTGCAGTCTGTATTGTCTGTATGCAAGTGTAAACTTCAATGGGGTAGTCCTTTCAGTTTGGGATTAATATTTTGATTTTGCATGAACAGTTAGTGGGGAAAAATCCATGTGATCTGCAATCTGCAAAATAAAATGATTTCAACAATATAATTATCATGCCAGGTTTGTTTGCATTCAAACAGTTTGCTGTCCCTGAAATATGATAATGTAGCAGGGTGTGGAGATATGGATGAGTTGATAATCAATACTGCTAGTTGTATGTAAGGGTTTTTAAAAACACTACGTAACATCATTTACTGTAAAACTGGAATTATTCATGCTTTTTTATTTATGTATAATTCATGGGTTAATCGACATGAGAATAATGAATGAAACGTCATTAGTTATCACATCTCCACTCAATGTAGTGTATTGCTTATGTATTGTATTGTATTGTATTGATTACATATAACTGCTCATCACGGTGTAATGGCTAGGTATAGATGATCATGGTGTATTGGTTACATATATAGCTGCTCATTGTAGTGTATCTGTTACATATAGTTGCTACTCATGGTGTATCGGTTACATATAGCTGCTCATTGTAGTGTATCTGTTACATATATGTATATCAGCCTATTGTATATTTGTTACATATAGCTGCTCATTATAGTGTATTTATTACATATAGTTGCTCATTGTAGTGTATTTGTTACATATAGTTGCTACTCATGGTGTATTGGTTACATATAGCTGCTCATTGTAGTGTATCTGTTACATATATGTATATCAGCCTATTGTATATTTTTACATATAGCTGATCATCATGGTGTATTGTTTTTGTATAGCTGCTCATTGTAGTCTTTTGTTTTGGTTGCATATATTTGCTCATGGTGTATTGATTACATATAGCTGCTCATCATGTAGCTGCTCATTGTAGTGTATAGGTAACATATAAGTATTATGGTGATATGACATCTTAAATTACAGGCAGTGACATTATATAAATTAGCGACATACAATGGTAGTAAACATGATAACAAAAAAAATAATTTTCATTCATATTTTTCCCACTGGTTGTCCATGGTTTTCCCATGAATTTCCCCTGAAATAAAACTGAATGAATAAGTTCTAGCTCTACAGTACTATTGTATGTGTGTGTCAAATGTGACTGCTGGGGTGAAATTACATGGTTGTCAGACCCCCCCAAGTCAGTCATAATTGAATGCACACCTACGCTACTCTGTTGTAGTCTACATTAGAAGAGAAGATCCAGGTAGAGACAGAGTTGAGTGAAAGAGTTGGACAGCTTCAAACTGAGAAGCACGAGTTACAGGAACAGCTTCATTTAAGCAATGAGAGAATCAAGGCATTCCAACACCAGATGAGTGAACAAGATGAAAACTTGGCAAAACAGGTATCAATCTTATATCATGTATAGCAAACTATATAAAAACAATTAAACAGACGGCAGGAATAGTCTATGGTTGTACAATAACCAACACCAACAACACATGAAATGTACACCAATAAACATTTATTGCATGTAATATATTCATGACTAAATTTTTTTTTTCAAAACTCAACACACCACCATTGCTATTCTCTTGTTTATTGTGATTGTATGTAATAGATAAATCAGTGTGAAGAGTTGCAACAACAAATGGAACATAAAGAAGAAGTTCAGAAAGATATGCAGAAGAAAATTGAGGTAATTATTACATTACGCAATACTAGTGTGGGCAGACTGTTTACAATCTGCATATGAATACACTTGTGACTGTTTACAATCTGCATATGAATACACTTGTGACTGTTTACAATCTGTATATGAATACACTTGTGACTGTTTACAATCTGCATATGAATACGCTTGTGACTATTTACAATCTGCATATGAATACACTTGTGACTATTTACAATCTGTATATGACTACACTTGTGACTGTTTACAATCTGCATATGAATACGCTTGTGACTGTTTACAATCTGCATATGAATACACTTGTGACTGTTTACAATCTGCATATGAATACACTTGTGACTGTCTACAATCTGCATATGAATACACTTGTGACTGTTTACAATCTGCATATGAATACACATGTGACTGTTCACAATCTGCATATGAATACACTTGTGACTACAATCTGCATATGAATACATGTGACTGCATTTACAATCTGCATATGAATACACTTGTGACTGTTCACAATCTGCATATGAATGCACTTGTGACTGTTTACAATTTGCATATGAATACACTTGTGACTGTTTACAATCTGCATATGAATACACTTGTGACTGTTTACAATCTGCATATGAATACACTTGTGACTGTTTACAATCTGCATATGATACATGTGACTGTTTACAATCTGCATATGATACATGTCTGTTTACAATCTGCATATGATACATGTGACTGTTTACAATCTGCATATGAATATATGTGACTGTTTACAATCTGCATATGATATGTGTGACTGTTTACAATCTGCATATGATACATGTGACTGTTTACAATCTGCATATGATACATGTGACTGTTTACAATCTGCATATGATACATGTGACTGTTTACAATCCCATATGAATACTTGTGACTGTTTACAATCTGCAATTGAATATACGTGTGACTGTTTACAATCTGCATATGATACATGTGACTGTTTACAATCTGCATATGAATATACATGTGACTGTTTACAATCTGCATATGATACATGTGACTGTTTACAATCTGCATATGATGCATGTGACTGTTTACAATCTGCATATGAATACATTTAATACAATTTAAAATCTCCATACGAATATACATGTGACTGTTTACAATCCCTATATGAATACATGTGACTGTTTACTTCAATTGTGTGGTTTACATTCTATGACATTATTGTTTGTTTTGGGAAATATTAGATTCTGGAACAAGAGATTGCCAAACCATGTGTACAGTGCAAAAACTATGAAGCCCAGGTTGTGAAATTACAAACAACACTTAAAGTAAGTAAAAAATGTGCAATCTTTGGTTAATTCAATTTTGATTGGTTCCATGAAAATAACTTTTAATAAATACCATTACGATAACAATCAAGGTTGTATTGTTTAAAATTAAAATTTGTGTTTTTTTTTTATCTTCCTTTATTTGAAAAAAAAGTTGGGTAAGAATAGATAATAATTAAAAGTTTCTTAGGGAATTAAAGGTTCCATTCTATTTGTTTAAAACTTTTTAATCTTTATGCAAGTTATTTATCTTTTCATTTAGGACTATCAAGAGAAGTGTGCAGCCTTGGAATCTGATTTACATAATGTACACGCTACTTTAACTCAAAATGAATCTGAACTTGTTGAAATGAAGAAGACAGAATCAACATTGTCTACAAATCTACAAGCTGTTACTGAGGTACATGTAATTCACTGTCTATTTCATCTTTAGTTACCGAGGTAATCCGCCATTGTGGTAATTACAGTGTATTTTAATTGATATTATTTTAATTTCAGGCCAAGTGTGCACTTGATGTCAGAGTAACAGAGTTAGACAATGAATTGAAGGAAGCTGCTAAACTTCAATATACCCTGGTACAGGAAAAGGTAGATAAAAGTTCTTTTCATATTTAGCTCTGCTGTTAACTTTATCGAGTGGAGCTTATCATATGATTGGCCATCGTCTGCATCAACTTTTTACTTTGTCGACTTCTTCTTGAAAACTACAAACCTGATTGCTTTGATACTTGGTGTAGACTATTCTTAGAATTATTCATTTCGTGATGATATCATTAATTGAAATCTGCATTGCTAACAGCAGAGCAATCTCAACTGAGAGACTGCTTGTTTTAAATTGTGATGTACACAATTGCTAAAATATTTAAAATTTAATTTTTTGGACTATTAATCAATAAGTTTATCGATCCTACAATGACCCTTTGATTGTTAGTGTCATTTATTCATCCCAATTTGATTTTGTTTCAGACTGGACTAATTGAGCTCCTTGAGAAGGAGAAAGCAACTTGCCGGGAATTATCTGACTCCAAGACATCATTGGAGTTACAAATCAGTGATTTACAGACAGAAATGCAAAGTGAAAGGGAAGCTAAAAACAAGGTAAGTCAGTAGATATGAGTAACAGCATTGTATGGATAATAGTTAATATTCACTGCTAGAAATTTTTGTGATTTTGTCATTGTACAGCATTTGTAAGAAAAAAATTTCAAAAAGTCACTGAGGCTCCATGATGTAGCTAATCTATATATGATATATTTTCAATTAGATAATTTTTCATGATTTTTATTTATTTATATGTGAAACTATAATATATGCACATACACTGAAAATAATCATAAAATAATTGTTTTTTAAATTTATTTGAAAAAAAAATATATAATTATTATATCAATTTATCACTTGTAGCTAGATTAAAAATTTGTCAGATACAAAGCATTTTAGTTTTGGCTGAAATTTTTTTTTTTTATTTTTTAGGAAATACATGGTTTATTGGAAGCCAAGAATCTATTAATCAAACAAAAACTGGATTTTCAGTCACAGATTAGTGACTTAGACAACCAGTTATCATTGGTCAAATCAGAACACGATGAGACGAAAGAAGTAGCCCAGAGAGTGCAGACAATGTTGAGAGATGAATCAGCGGCTCTTCAAACTAAACTGGTAAATCACTTTTATCCCCGCTCTCATTGTTCGTTGCTTCTCCTTCAAAATTGTTATTCTAGATGGTTGTTTTTCAAATTGATCATTTATGACTTATATGTTGTTCATTGCCTGTATTTTGTATATGAAGGCAAAAGTATATTGGGCGAAAATATTTTTCCGCTGTGTCTTTTTTCTTGGATGAAAATTAAATAACTAAAAAAATTGGGTATCTTATTATCTTACAAGTTTCAGTATAAAATTTGCACCAGGTTTGATTTCTTTATAAGTGTGAGACTTGTGTGAGAAACTGATACTTCCTCACTGTTCAACATTCAACCATTCTGAATTGAACAAGTGACCTGATGGTCAAAATAGCTCCGCTATTTCAGCAGAGCATTGAGTGTTCCCCTAATGCACAGAAGGAACTAATCTAATATAGGTCCATCCAAGGTACACATATATCAGAGAAATTGGTGTAGTGGTTTTGAAGTCAACAATAACATTTTTTAACAAAAATGACAAAAAATCTCCCCAAAATAGAGAATTGAAGATATATCGACACACAATAAATAAATCTGACAGAGATGTCCCCAAGGAACCCACATACCAAGTATCAAAGCAGTTTAGCTAGTAGTTTTCAAGTAGAAGATATAAATGTTATTGTTGAGGGATAGACGACAGACTGACAGACAAACACACAGACGACGATGGACAATCACCATTATGAACAGCTCTGTTGTGTCATCTACGATGACAGCTAAGCTAATAAAGAGATTAACTGATCACTTTATTTTGGCACCCACTGTAAATACTCTTCTGTTTTCACAGGCTGCTGAGATCCAGACGAAAAATGAAATTCAAAAGGAGAAATCTGAAAATGAAGAGAAATTTAATATTCAAATAACAGCCTTAAATGAAAACCTAGGAACACTGAGGGGGGATATGACAAGGTCTGAAAGTAGAATTGGAGAATTAGAGAAAAATAATGATGAACTTAGAGGAGAGATTGCAGGTAGGAGATCTTGTACCATGTATTTCAAGATAACAAGTCAAATGTGTGTTAAATGTCCTGTAGAACATGGGTGACTTTCCAAGATGTAAAAAATTTCACTTCATGCAATGACATATTATTGATGATTTATATTTGTTGGGTGGGAGATTCCCATTAATTTACTAATTGATTTTTTCAATAACTTTGTATTGTAACTAGCAATGAATACATACAATTTTTTTTTTTAGTTATACATGTATATTCATTTTTGACTTGTTATTAATCATACAACATCCAAATGTGCAGACTCAATTTCTGCAACTGCTTTTTGGCGTAAGAAATATTATATTATTCCTGAGACACAAAATGTAAAAGTTGTTTGCTCCTACTGTATATTCCTGTATACGATGGTATAGTCACAGGTTTAGTAACTTGTATAGAGAATGCTTTATTTCTCAGATTGAAAAACAGAACAACAAGACATTAGGGATTCTAAATTCAATGAAAGATCAGATCTTCTCACAGACATATGGAATTAAATTGCATTTAAGCTGCAAGATGTGGATTGTTAAAGGGTATCTCTTGTTTAATTGATTCAAATCATTTATTTTAACTCCACAGTCCTGGAAGCCACCGTCCAAAATAACCAAGATGAACGAAGAATTCTTCTTGAAAGGTAAATGCTATCATCAATATTAGTACTTGGTACTGTAAAATGACTAATTTTTACTGGGTTTAAATTTGGCTGATTTAACATTTCAGGCATATTCAGTGGGTTTTAAATTCACAGTTTTATCATTTAGATATTGTGTTCTATGCTAAATTTTACATATTCAGTAGATTTTAATTTAGCTCATTTTGCAGTCAGCGAAATAAGCAAAATTAAAACCCAGTGAATAATTAACCCTTTTAAAGTAATACACCTGTGTGCAACATGTACCCTTATATTTATATGGTTTAGAATAGAAGCATAGTATTTTGTGGCCCTAAAAATGTATACAGGATATACATACAGTGCAATGCAGTGGCTCATACAGAAAATGGTACATTGATTTTTTTATTCTGTAAATATCAATAAAACCTAAAGTATAATGTTTTAATTTTCATAGTTAACAATGTTTGTGTATTTGTCTGACCACGCAGGTGTTTACACAGTGAAAATGAAGTTGAGAAACTTCAGAATAAATCTGCAGAATTGCGGAGGAAACTTGACGATGCACAGTCTGCGATGCACGAACTAGGACGCGAAAATCAGAACCTACAGATTGTGAATACTCAGAAGATGAGTAGAAAATGGCAGGACGACGATCAGATTTATGACTGTCAGAGTTGTGGCAAAGGATTCTCAGTCACTGTTAGAAAAGTAAGTGCAGATATATTTTGTCAGTATTATGTTTATTTCATCTGATGAATGATAATAACAATAGAGATTATTAGTACATGTCATCACAGTAATTTCTATCATTGTTCTATAAAGGGTTTCAAAGTGACATTGACATTCTATTGTGAATCAAAACATTATCCAAATTTTGGATTTGACACCAACTAACTTTATACAGCCATCTGCTCAGTCTATAATAATGGTTTTGAATAATTTGTAATAAAAACAAAAGTAAAATACAAATGCGAACATAGGTGGCGCTTGTCAATATTATTGTGATTTTTTATTTATATTGCAGCACCATTGTCGACATTGTGGAATGATATTCTGCAATGAATGTTCAGCAAAGACAGCGGCTGTGGCATCCTCTAAGAAACCCGTACGAGTGTGTGACACATGTTATGTTGAACTTACAACAGGTAGATGAGTAATCCATATTGGAACACAAATACCCAAATTAACATAGCAATGTACAATCTGGTGGTTAAAAACTGAACTGTTCCAACAAGTGCAAGGAGTTGGTTGGTTTTAGATGTAAATACAAATATTAAATATTTAATTATGGGCACAGAAATGAACAAGGGTTATTCAACATATTTTAATTACATGTGTGACTTTGTTTTTTTTTTCAAAAAAAGGCAAAATACATTGAACATGTGGTGTATGTGTACATAATAACTTGCATGCAGTGCATCTCAGGTACTTGCTATTTTGTGTGTGTTTTTTTTTTTTTGTTCTATTAATTGTTACAATTCATTAAGTTTAAAAACTTGCATTATTATTTTATCTATATGACATATTTCAAAGTAATGTGACAGAGTTGATGGTAATTTTTTTTAAGAAAGTATTCTGTGCTAGATACATTGAATGCTTTGGTGATTTTAGCATGTGATTCATTCAGTGGAATACCTGCTATTAAAACTGTTGCACGATATTGTATTTAATACTTGATGTGATCATTGATGCTCCAAATTGTTCATCAAATAAACTGATTTCATCCAAATTACATTTACAAGGCATGATGAGAACCATGAAAGAATCCACCCATTCTGTGTACGACATACCCAACATCATTGTTATATTGATCCATGTCATCATTTTCACTGTACATTTCAGGTTCGGCAAAACAGACCAGTGGCACAGTTATGTAAAGTAGTACTGCAAATGAGCCCACCTATCTTACCTGTCCTTCAGATGTATGTAAAGACAAGCTTGTC